CAAATGCAAAAGGAATTGCGATTCCATTTGAGTTTTGGCAGGTTACATGCGCGACGCAGCGAGAGTGAAAAAGCAGACGTGGTAATTAATATTGCTATTTAAATATGACAGGCTCGTAACTCCTAAGACATGGGAAATACAGTTGCAAATGGACTTTGCTTTTTCATTTGAAATTTGGCCGTCACTGTGCGAAAGCGAAAATGCAAACGCTAATGCAGGATTTGCAATTGCATTTGGATTATGTCACAATTTATGCGTCCACATATTGTAAACGCAATTGAAAATACAATTTGCTATTCTATTTGAAAATTGTCCGGAATATCGTTCCATACATGAACACATTTTGCCACTTGCTAATTGGTTGTACTGGGGGCGGGGCTCACTCTAGTCTAGAGCATTTGATTGGACAAAAACCTGTGTATGTTGATTTTCTCCAAGCTGATTTCTGTCTGCCAGTCTTCCTGCTGACTTTCAAAGGAGCAATGTCATCAATAACATTCTTAACTGTTAGGATGAGTCATCAGGATGCAGGATGTGCAGGATGAGTCATCAAAATATTTGGTCTGTTTCTCAGGACAAGAAAACTACAGGCATAGAACAAACTGATGGCACACCTGGACAGTGTAATCGCCTACAGTCGTGGCTCTCCTGAAGCGAAGGCCACGTCGACTGGCAACCAGAAAGAGCTCCGCCAGGCGCTGCTCCATTAGACTAGCAAAGCTCTGATAACTCCCCTCAAGAGAAGAGCTGTCAACGTCCTGAATTACTAGAGAGAGAGAGAATGACAGAGAGAGAGATGAAGCAAGGTGACAAAGAGAACATACCTTTCTTACACTTTAAGTCTAAAAAAACTGCAATTACTACAGAATTGACCTTGGTAAAAGGATTTGTTCTCCTGACAGTGATAAATAGGGATGAACGGGGGAAAGAAGGGGGAGGAAGAGCTAACTAAAGCAACAGAGAGAACATTGAGTGCAAGAACTTAGAGCTAGAAATAGCTTTTCACACTCAATATTCTGATCCAATGTGATCTCAAATCAGTTGATGGAGGAAGCTAAATAATACATCAATAGCACTCCTCAGAGAAGAAGGCTCTCTGTGTTTAAAAGAAGCGGGAAGAAAACATTAGCTAGATTTAATCACATGACATGCTGGCAAATGGTTGTCTGGGTGCTGGTTAGTAGCTGAACTGTTGAGGCAATTACCTGTGATTACCCAGTAATCTCGGGTTGCTACTGAAGTGTTAAGGTTGTGGTACTCTAGAGCTGTGAAAAGAGAGAGAAAGACAGACAGATGTTTACTAGTAGACCATTCTGGCAAAAACAAAACAAAAAAAATGTTGTCATCATTTACTCATTCATTGGCGAGGATAAATGTGATTTTTTTCCTAATACATAAAATAAGCAGATCAATTATTGCCAAATGATCGTGGGACATTATTTTTTAATTTGCATACTTAAGATAAAATGTTTACTGAGAGTATGATTTGAAAATAAGATAAAAAAATGTAATATAATTATGTATTTTAAAAATTTTTACAAAATATATTTTCTTATCCATGGCACACAGGCATTTTATTTCTACATTCTTTGTTATATTTGTTAAAATTATATTTTACTTGAATAAAAAAAACTTGAATAAAAAAGCGAATATTGAATATTAACATAATATTCATTAAATAAAAAATTACATTAATTATGTATAATATATTGTTTTCTTTTATATTCTATTTTTAATAATTATATATAACATATTAATAATTGATGATTATGAAACCTGAATTAAAAAAATAATATTGAATATAAATATAATATTAAATGCACAGATATTTAATTTAATATTAATTATTATATCAATAACTTTATTCATTATAATTAATAATCATATTAATGTGAATCTACATGATATTTCATTCATATATACATGATTTAATTTGAAGCACATCTGGACTTTTAAGGTGAGATTATTATCACAATACTGATATCAAATAATAATAATAATAATAAAACAGGAAAAAAATAGCTGTTTAAAATGGTTTTAGATGGAGTATAGCATGTCACCCAGCAGAACAAGTCAACTTCCCAAAAGTTTTTCATATTGACTACCCATCAAAAAAGGAGAATGTTATGAGTCCTTGGAAAATGTCTTTTGGATCAACCAAAACTGAGGATCTCTGCCTCAAGGAAAACAAACTCATGGATTCAAACTGAAATAAACACGAACTACCATTTCAATGTGCATTAACATGTAAACACAAGCCGTGCAGCAAGTAAGATCAAGCGGTAAACACAAGCTGAAACTTACGCTCAGCGTTGATCAGAGGGGGGAAGAAGAGAAAGTAGCCCACCAGCTCGGAAGTGAGCTGGTTAAGGAGACCGCTGGACATAGTACCGCTCAACGGAGTGCTACCGTTCCACACCACATACACCAAAGTGACTGCCAAAGAATTCCCCGTTTGATACGTGTTCAGAATCTGTCCGAAAACACAAACAAACTGTAAATCCAAATCCAACAAACGAGCCCACAGAGGAACGGCGTTATCAGACCTCTGAAGATAAGCCATTTATCAAACTTTGTTTTCAAGTTCAATTGAAAAACTACCTCAACAGAAAGAGTCCCATAAGAGTCCTCCACTTTCTCCTGCGCCTCAGCAAACACATTTTCCAATCGTTGCTCCATCATTTGGATGAACCCGCAAGACTTGATGTCATCGGTTGATCCGACAAACCTGAGAACTAAATGTAGGAAAACAATAAACTGTTAAACAAAAACAGATTCCACATTCCAGTTACCAATCATTCTAGTTACCAAGTTTCAACAATAAATGGCTGTGGGCTTAAGACTGGCTGAATATGTATTGTAGATAAAGCGTAAACAAAGGGGCTACAGCATGGTAGCAAAGCTGGTCAGACATATAATTTCCAGTCAGATTTTCCAACAAACTCAAGTTGGAAAATAATCGTACCCGTTTTGAGCTGCAGGTGGATGCCGAGGCTGGGCAGCCAGGGGGCCACAGGATTGGGGATGGCCAACACCACAGGAACATACTCTCTGATGTCATTCAATAGCTTGTTGAAACCATAGGAAGTTAATGTGTCCATCACAACAGAGGCCACCAACACGGACTTCCCTCTCAAGACGTAGTAGCCCACAGTCACATTAGAAGGCGTGCAGATATCTTTTTCCAACTAGAGAGAACTCAGATCATGTAAAATGGCATGGATATCCATAGTGTATATCTAACAAAATTATTTCACCATTTCCATCAGCTCCTTGGCTAGTTCTTTTTAAAATGTCTACACCACCATTCAAATGTTTGGGGTCAGCAAGATTTTTTTACATTTTTAAATACTTTTATTTGGCAATGATGCATTAAATCAATCAAAAATTAAGACATTTATAATGTTGAAAAAGATTTCTATTTCAAATAATCTTTCTATTCATCAAAGAATCTTTTAAAATGTATCAGAGTTTCCACAAAAGTATTAAAGAACCAAATCAGCATATCAGAATGATTTCTGAAAGATCATGTGACACTGAAGACTGGAGTTATGATGCTGAAAATTCAGCTTTCATCACAGGAATAAATTACATAAGTGACTTATTTAAACATTATATTATAGTCTTATATATAGTCTCATTTAATATCATAAAACAGCATATTTAAAATTATTAAACAATAAATAAATGGGTGAATATTTCTTCAACTAAGATTTAGTTTTACCTTCAGATACAGACTTTAAGTCTTATATGAAAATCCATTATACAAACTATAAATTATTACATTTGAAACTACAATAATCTAAACAAATAATGAAATAATCATAATCAGTTCCAATATTTATTTTGTGAGAATTATTATAAAAAATAAAAATAAAAAAAGTAAATTTATTTTTTGTTTATTATTATTATTATTTTATTGTTACAAATTTTGACTAATATTATTTAATTGTGTGTATTTAGGATACATAAAATTCTAGCTATGAAATTAGGGTTAGCAAGACAAAAGAATTCAGCCGTGTTACTCAACAAATATAACTTTCTTCACAGAACACTAACGCACATTCATCAACTGAGACGTGATGGAAAAGACACACTGTGGTGGGATTGTAGTTTACCTTCAGAAAAATATGCTAAATTCTCCCACGATGCATGCAAACTGCTGGATAAGTTAAAATTAAAAACTACTGTGTGTGTAAAAAATGCAAACAGTATCAATATTTAAACAAGTTTTTAGCCTTACTGAAATCATATGCTGTTTTTATTCATAGTGTTATATTCACACAAATGCTCTTATTGGCTTTGTTTATTGTTAATTGCTTGAGGCAAATGCTAATACATATCCCACATGAATAAATTTCATCATATTGAGTCAAGTTGACTGACCATCTCTCTCTTTTTACTCCAACATAAACACACATAAACACACACACTCGTGTGTAGATAGTGATTGTGTCGTCTCCTGCTGATCCCTCCAGGGTCTGTAATCATACAGAACCTCTGATCTGATGGACAGTTGACGAGGAGGAGGAGAAAGAGGAGGGAAAAAATCACATAGTGAGCGAAAAAGACAAATATAGAGACAGATCTTGAAGAGAACAGATTGAGTCATTTGGTACAGAGCTTAATAGACACAGACGGTTGCTCTTCAAATAACAACCTTTTCAGTGGTCATTCACAATTAAAGAGAGTACACCCTAAAATGCAAATTTGGTCATAATTTATTCATCCTCATGTCATTACAAACCCATAAGACTTGCATGACTTGTATGAGAGCTTGGAATGACATGAGGCTGATTAAATGATGAGAGAATGTCAATTTTTGAGCGAATTGTTCCTTTAAATACTCTATTTAGTCGACTGCACTCCCCTCAGCATGTTGTCTCTGCTGTTACCATGATATCGATTCTTTATTTGCAGCATATGAGGTACCAGCGCTGTGCTATTTTTGGACGTGCCTTTCTGACGGACAGACGTGCAAATGCTCCTTCGGCTTCAAACCAAGTGTTTCATAAGACGGCCCTTTCTCAGCGCTTGAAAACAGGGAGATGTTCTACACAATCACATTCAATGAGCTGCATACTGAACATACACAGGAAACACCTCCCACACAGCCTCCCACCACACTGTCCTCTGCTAAACTACAATTCCCATGATGCAACTGTGATAAGGTCCCAGAGGACTGTGGTCAAAAGCACTGTGCTTATCTTGATGCTGCTGGATTCTACTGTATAAGGCATCTTTTACTGTGTTTCCAATGGCAACCAACTATTCCGATTAGTTCTTTTCATTATTTATTTAGCATTTCTCACTTCATGTTGCAGTGGAAGAGAAAGAAAAGGGTTTGGATAAGCTTACTACCATTTTTATTATTGCTGCAGTTTATAGTCTGTATACTGTGCATAGTAAGCAAATTATTTTTAAATTATGCATTAAATCTTGGATAACCTACCTCATTTGCCCTTTAAAAAACATATTTATCATGTTACAAAAGATATCTATTTCAAATTAATGTTGTTCTTCTGATCTTTCTATTCATCAAAGAATCTTTTTTTAAAAATTATCAAAATATTCACAATATTAGGCAGCACAACTGTTTTTAACATTGATAATAAGAAGAAATGTTTCTTGATTATTTAAATGATTTCTGAAGGATCATGTGACACTGGAGTAATGGCTGCTGAAAATTCAGTTTTGCATCACAAAAATAAATTACATTTTAAATATATTCAAATAGAAAATAGTTATTTTAAATTGTAATTCACAGTTTTTACTGTATTTTTGATCAAATAAATGCAGCATTGGTGAGCATAAGAGTCTTCTTTCGAAAACATAAAAAAATCTTACAAACCCCAAACCTTTGAACTTCTATAGCAGGTGTTTTCCTTCTTATTAACGGCCAAAACCACTGCGTAGTGGCTTGCGGCTCAAAACACATGCAAAACCACCAACCTGAACACGGACGTTGCTGTCATTGAATGCTCTCTGAAATGCCTGTGTGAAACCTTTAGACAGGTTCTGTCTCATTTCAGCTTCTAGGCGATTTCGTCGCATCTGGATGGACAACACTGAGGGAAAAATTGATACAACACATATGAAAAGCATGATTTTCTAAGCATCTCAAGGGAGACAGCCATGCCAGTGAACATGTCTATTTACTGTGAACATATGTTGGTTTCACTACAGTGCATATGCTGTCACTGTAGAATGTCGGAGAGGAGGAGTAAAATTACTGCATATGGTAGAGGAGCGTGGGGCACAAAGTAACGCGGGGTTAGTTGTAACACACATGGTTTGAATATTTCCACACATGCTAGCATAACAAAATTGACAGTATTTATTAGTTACCTTATCAACATTACATAGAAAAAAAAGTGTGCCAAAATTCTAAAATCTTTTGAAGATATCAATGAACATTTATTTTACCATATAAAATTAAAATTCTGGCTTAAGTACATTTTTCATCTCTGTTTTTATTAATCATTTAAAATGAGACAAATCTGCTATTATTTTAATCTCCAATCTGTTATTTATCAGTTTAGATCATTTTTTAATGATTCGCTAACTAGCAGAAGACAGCAACTGATTTTAAACTCCAGTTGCGCAGATGGAGCACGTTGTAACACTGCGTTACAATGTGCTATTCAATCACATTAGCAATGTAATTTACACTATTTACTTTAATGAATTTTAATGAGAAACAACGAGAAACAGGTGAATAAAGACTGACAGTCAATGTTTAATGTTTAGAAATTATTATTTCAAGACATGTAAAGCATTTTTGCTCGTTTATATGGGCCGTCCCAAGCATGATTGCAATGTGTTCATTGTCACTCGAAAATCAGATTATTTTTAATTCTGAAAAAACGCCATTATTTTATTTGAAAAAAATAATTATTTTATTTTATTAACAACATATTTTAGTTTGTCTTGTATATATTTTTTTCATTTGATCAGATAACATTTTAAGCTGTTATATGGTCATGTTACAACGTGCCCCTCAGATGTTACAATGTACCCCACCTACGGGGCATGTTGTCACATTTCACTTCCATTTATTTTTTGAGGGTAAATAAAGAAAAACATATACACTGTAATCATGAAACAAAGCAATATATTTGTACTAGACAAGTGTAAAATTACTGGGAATAAAAAAATATTTATTCTGAACCCCATGTGGATTTACACAAACTGAGAAAGTCAAAAAGTGTTACTTTGTGCCCCGCTCTCCCCTAATATTATTTGCATAATAAAGCCTTTCACAAGATTAAGTAGATGTGCATTTGTAAACTGGTTTTGTCATTTTTCTCTGTTGTAATGAACTGAGCATAATTTAAATGTCAAAATGCCTTTGTTATTTAATTTTCATTTTAATTCCATACCTGTTGATTATTTTTCTTAAATACAATTAAAATCTAATTAAAAAGACTGAAATATTTTAGGCTAAGTGTGCTAGACTAAATATCTAATATCTAAGTGTGCTTACATGCACAAAACACTGCAAACCAAAAAAAACAACAACATTATATTAATAATTAATTTGTATTATTTTTAATACTTTAATACTTATTTTATATAACTTATATTTTTTTATATTATATTATTTTTATGCCATGCCATAGCCAAACCTATTTTCATCACAAGAACTGATAGTTTAAAGTATGACAAATAATAAATAAAGCACTGTACAAAAGATTTGTCTTTTAATTTAAATCTAAATTGTTTAAATTGTGATAGAAAATATTTTTTTTCCTGATAAGACCTTTTTATTAACATCCATTGAATAACTTTTATTATTTAATAAAATGATGAATTCATTTCTCAAAATGTAAACAAACAAATGCAAAAAAAACAAGAGCATTTACATGCGAAATCAGGGTAACTGTAAAAAATAGGTGTCCTGATTGGTTTTGCTTAAAATGCGACAAATGTTTTCCCAAAAAAACTGTTTATGTCTAGGTATGATGATATGTTTTACTGTCTATACTATCGGTTAAACATTATTTCAATGCAAAATCTACAATTCAGCTTAATAAGCCACAACATTTTCTGTAATGGAATGTAAACTGCATTGACTTACACTGATTTGTGGCGTATTTGTGCCATTACTAAAGTTGCCTAATTTCTTTATTTAATTTTCACTAAAAACAACGAGGAGGCACTCATACAGTAAACAGGGGCTCACCTGTTTTCACCCATAATCTTTCGGTCACGTTACAGGTCAAAGGTGAACTGTCAGTAGGAGGGGTGCTCGCTTCAGTCGTGGTACTTCCAGAGGTAGATACAACAGTGGTCTGAAGAGGGGTTGTCGTTGTTGTGGTTGCTAAAGTGGTTGTAGGTGTTTTTGTGGTTGTTGTGGTGGTGGTAGTTGTAGTGGTAGTGGTGGTTGTCGTCGGTGGTTCCGTCTCGGTTGTTGTGGTCTGGGTGGCTGTAGTGGTCGGCATTGTGGTCGTGACCTCTTTCACCACGACGATGGCAGTGGGCGGAGTCACAGTCATTGATGTCACAGTTAAGGGCGTGACAGTCGTGGTGGTCACTGTGGTGAGTTGGAGAGTGTCGCTGGTCACAGTGTGGGAGTTGCTGCTTGCTGAAGAGCCGGACGAAGCGTTTTCAGCCCTTTCAGAAGTGCCGTTAAAAGCGGAAAAGGAGACCGAATTTGTCACATTGTCAGTGAGTGTAGCATCTGTCTCTGCCACAATCATGAAAGAGGATCCCGGGGCGGTGGGAAGATCAGGGTTTCTGGGGAATTCACTAAGAGTCTCGTCTGAAAGCAGAGAACGTTTGAGTGAGCCACCTCAGGAGCAGGAAGTGAGATCGAGGACACACATGATCGCTCGCTGATGGTGAAGAATGACACATAGGACATGTGGGAGAGGACAGATGTAGCTCTGGGGGATTATGCAGTAGCGGGACTTGTTGAAGTGTATAATTTTTGCGCCCCACTAGTGTCATCAAACCAAATATAACCGAAGATAATGATTTAATTTTCCATTGATCAGACAAACAGTTTCAATGAGAGGCAATGGTGAGAGGTTGGGCTAAATGCCATGCGCAAAAATTACATACTTCAGCTTTAACGTCAACATGAAATCAAAGTTGACCAAATCAGGATTATTAGGGTTATAATATACATATTAAAAAAAAAGTTTTTTATTTCAGCTAGTTGCCAAGGTAGCATTTCTGATTTAGTGTAATTTGATGTACTTAACTAAAACTGCAATAAAACAAACAACAACTTGTTTAAAAAGTTTAACAAAAATTCTAATGAAAACCGAAAATATTCAAATAAAACCTGATTGAAAATATAAATAAAAACTATAATAGTATCTAAATGATACTAAAATAACACCACTGCTCAAAAAGGGTCAGTAAGGGTCGGTAATGCTCACTATAGCTGCATTTATTTGATCAAAAATACAGCAAAAAAAATATTATTACAATTTAAAATAACTGTTTTCTATTTTAATATATTTTAATATTCCTGTGATGCAAAGCTGATTTTTCAGCAGCCATTACTTCAGTCTTCAGTGTCACATGATCCTTCAGAAATCATTCTAATATGCTAATTTGCTGCTCAAGAGACATTTATTATTATTAGCATCAATGTTGAAAACAGCTGTGCTGCTTCATATGTTTGTGTAAACTGTGATATATGTTTGTTCAGGATTCTTTAATGAACAGAAAGTTCAAAAGAAGAGTGTTTATTTGAAATAGAAATCTTTTGTAACATTAAAAATATCTTTACTGTTACTTTTGAACACTTTAATCATCCTTGATGAATAAAAGTATTAATTTCTTTAAAACGATATATAATATTAACCAATAATATCAGTCTAATATTTCACAATCCAATCAAATCCTGATGAAGTCCTAAATATATTCACGATTTACTCAGAAATACGTCACGTTGCACAAGTAAAATGGGATGTGAATGCAATTTCATGTTGACTTTAAAGAGAGTATTGTAAAAAATGTTGATGATGATGATTACGATAACAGCAAACACAATGACCTTGAAAATAATGATGACGGTGATGATGAACAAATGGTGAAGAAAGGATGATGACAACATCAAATCAGCAAAGTCCCTGAAAAGAAATCCCTTTAAATACACCACTTCTTGATTTCTGTACTCAGCATTGATTCAACAGCTCACAAGCTAGCGGTACCTGAGCTAGTGGTCAAGACACTGTTGATTTTATGTGCCGGGGACGGTGGATTTGGCACTCTGACGCCCTGCTCCCCAGCGGACTTTTGATTGGTGCGATTGTCACTGTTGCCGGGTGGGGAGGGCAGAGAATGCACCAGCGCCTGAGGCTGTGTCTCTGCAACCTGCAGGGTCTGCACCGAGGCGAACACAGGCTGCTCCCTTGTGCTTTCTGCCCTCGCTGGTGGGGAGTTGTACAGCGAGGCGAAGTCTTCATCCTCCAGCAGCGACGAAGAGACTGTGATGTTTGGGGCTCCGGTTGGATCCTGGGAAGGACTGAGAGGTTGTCCTGATGCCTCGAGTCTTGCTTCATCTGTAATGAAAAAAGATGTTATGGTGCAAAATCATAAACATCTACCGTTTTTGTCTTATAGGTGGAAATGCACTAGAGGAAATCCAAAAAATAAGCGTATGATTTCATTTGTTGAGCCAAGATTTTAAATACTTGAAGGCATTAGAGGCAGCTGCATTAAGCTTGCAAACCTAATGACACGCACTGGTATTTAATCAGCATTAATGATAATGCGCTGTATTAAATTGCTCTCAAGGTATTTGAAAAATTGAGAAGAAGAAAAAAGAGGCTGTGTCTCTGCAACCTGCAGGGTCTGCACCGAGGCGAACACAGGCTGCTCCCTTGTGCTTTCTGCCCTCGCTGGTGGGGAGTTGTACAGCGAGGCGAAGTCTTCATCCTCCAGCAGCGACGAAGAGACTGTGATGTTTGGGGCTCCGGTTGGATCCTGGGAAGGACTGAGGGGTTGTCCTGATGCCTCGAGTCTTGCTTCATCTGTAATGAAAAAAGATGTTATGGTGCAAAATCATAAACATCTACCGTTTTTGTCTTATAGGTGGAAATGCACTAGAGGAAATTCAAAAAATAAGCGTATGATTTCATTTGTTGAGCCAAGATTTTAAATACTTGAAGGCATTAGAGGCAGCTGCATTAAGCTTGCAAACCTAATGACACGCACTGGTATTTAATCAGCATTAATGATAATGCGCTGTATTAAATTGCTCTCAAGGTATTTGAAAAATTGAGAAGAAGAAAAAATTACGGGGAAACAAGCCTAGCAGGCTGCCTCGCTGCCTCCTTCTAAGGTAGCATCATGTCATGGAATATTTTAAATGACCGATTTTGGAACTCTACTTTTGCACAGAACACTCGATTCGCAATTAATTTCAGTAGAGTTTGTCGTTAACATCTTGAAAAGCTAACAGCGCAACACTTCTATAGTAAGAATAAAAATGATTCTCTTAATCAGCACGTTTGTCTTTTTTTTTTTTTTTTTACAATGAAAATATCTTAATACAAGATACATTTACTGAAAACCTATAAAATTGAGTAAGACATTAAAATTTGTTCTCAGAAAATCTATTTAGAATTCAGGTAATTTTCTTGTTTAAAGCATAAATCTCACTAAATTTTGTTATACTGTAGTATGTTTAAAAAACTGTCAGCCATTGGGTAAGAAAAATATCTTATTAATTCAAGATTATCTAAAAACAAGTATTATTATCTTTATAAAAGATAAATGCATCTTGTTTTAAAACATGTATGGCAATCAACATTTCTCTCTTCTGGCAGCCATCCTGGATGGATTTATCGCTTATTTAATCTAGCTGTTTTTGTAAACATACATGTTCCTTACTTGTTTTTTTTTTCTTTCTGAAATATTTAAATACAAGATAAATATTTTCAGTAATGATAATTATAAAACAATAATTGTAGTTGTAAATGTAAATGTAAAACAAAGTTTAGAAAAGATTTATGCTTACAAGAAACTTTCTTGAATTTGAAATATATTCTCTGGAAATACTTTTTTAAGTTTTATTTCAGAAAATGCATCTTGTATTAACAAATTTTTTACTGTAAAAATACAAAAATGCAAATTAAGAAAATATTTTTTAAAGTGTACAAGGGTGTGCATTTAGTGAAGTCCCTCTAACATAACATAACATAACAACATAACATAACATAACATAACATAACATAACATAACATAACATAACATAACATAACATAACATAACATAACATAATAATTATTTTCAGTAATGATAATTATAAAACAATAATTGTAGTTGTAAATGTAAATGTAAAACAAAGTTTAGAAAAGATTTATGCTTACAAGAAACTTTCTTGAATTTGAAATATATTCTCTGGAAATACTTTTTTAAGTTTTATTTCAGAAAATGCATCTTGTATTAACAAATTTTTTACTGTAAAAATACAAAAATGCAAATTAAGAAAATATTTTTTAAAGTGTACAAGGGTGTGCATTTAGTGAAGTTAACATAACATAACATAACAACATAACATAACATAACATAACATAACATAACATAACATAACATAACATAACATAACATAACATAACATAACATAACATAACATAACATAACATAACATAACAACATAACATAACATAACATAACATAACATAACTCTCTTGGGCAGCTTTGAATTATTTAGCTTGCTTAACATTTCAGAAAAGAAAATCACAGCAGCCCTTCTCTCGATTGCCATCCATGACTGTTGGCAAGTCGATATGAGATGATTAATAACGTGATTAATCGACTTTTACAGCTCTTTACTTTATTTTTATCTCGGGGAACATAACATGGATGGAGTCATACAATAGTGACTTGTGGACATTAATCATAAATCCTTCAGCCGGAGGACCAAATTAGAAATGTGCAGGGCTTCTAGGGTGCTGCGAGCTCTCTCTGTCCTTTTCTCACTCTCTTAAAGCATAAAGCTTCAATCCTTTCCTAATGGGTTAATTAACTCACCCAAACACATCTTATATGAGATTAGTCACAAACACCATAAACATAATATTGCAACTTACATCTGCACAAAATGTTGCAAAAGCACAAGTAAATGTGAACAAAGTACTCTACTGATGATAGACAGACAGACAGACAGGCAGACAGATTAGTGTAAAATTATCTGGGTGGATTGGATAGTGTAGAATTACCTGGGTGGATGGATGGATATTGTAGAATTATCTGGACAAACAGATGGATAGATAGTGTAGAATTATCTGGATGGATGGATGGATGGATGGATGGATGGAAGGATAGTGTAAAATTACCTGGATGGATGGATGGATAAATGGATAGTGTAGAATTGCCAAGATGGATTATGGATATTGTAGATTTATCTGGACAGATGGATATTGTAGAATTATCTGGAGGAATGGATGATTGTGCAGAATTATCTGGAGGGATGAAGGGATGGATGGATGAATAGATAGTGTAGAATAATCTGGAGGGATAGATGGATATTGTAGAATTATCTGGAGGGATGAAGGGATGGATGGATGAAAATGGATTGGATAGTGTAGAATTACCTGGGTGGATGGATGGATATTGTAGAATTATCTGGACAAACAGATGGATAGATAGTGTAGAATTATCTGGATGGATGGATGGATGGATGGATGGATGGAAGGATAGTGTAAAATTACCTGGATGGATGGATGGATAAATGGATAGTGTAGAATTGCCAAGATGGATTATGGATATTGTAGATTTATCTGGACAGATGGATATTGTAGAATTATCTGGAGGAATGGATGATTGTGCAGAATTATCTGGAGGGATGAAGGGATGGATGGATGAATAGATAGTGTAGAATAATCTGGAGGGATAGATGGATATTGTAGAATTATCTGGAGGGATGAAGGGATGGATGGATGAAAAGATAGTGTAGAATTATCTGCAGGGATGGACAGATGATGGACAGATAATGTAGAATTATCTGGAGGGATGGATGGATAGTGTTGAATTATCTGGAGGGATGGATGGATAGTGTAGAATTATCTGCAGGGATGGACAGATGATGGACAGATAATGTAGAATTATCTGGAGGGATGGATGGATTGATAGACAGACAGACAGATAGATAGACAGATATTCATCAATGCCATATTTTAAAAAACATACAATCTTTTAAGTTGGGAAATTTGATTACATATACAGATCTTTGTCTCGTGTATAAAATCAAACATGGACTGGCTCCTCCGGTATTGAGCCAGTTTGTAAACATAGCACCAACTGGTTAAACAAGAAGTGCAGCAAGTGACTGCATAGTCCCGTTAAGAACAAGTGCATTCAGTCAAACGGTGTTTTCGGTTAGGGCTACTTGTGAGTGGAACTCCATCCCAACTCACATTACAAATTTGAATACTTATGCCTCTTTTAAGTTTCCCTTAAAGAAGTGGTAATAGAGAGTCAACATTGTCAACATTAATTTTATACACTAATTTCTGCTGCCATCTTGTCTTTTCTGCTCTACCTGTTTGAGAATTTTATTTATTATGTATATGAGCATGGTTGGTTTAGTACTGATTGAATGTTTAAGGCTAAACTACTGTTACTTGTTAGTATGCTTACATTATCCTTGCCTGTATATTAATATTATTGGTACATTGCTTGTCATATTGTCTGACAGTGGGATTGTGTGTGTATGAGTGAGCTGGTGTTGATTTGTTGGTTCTATGTATAGCCTAATTTTTAAGCAGATTTTTATTGTATTGGGATAGAACTATATGTATTATGTATAGCATAAACTTTATACATATTTTGGAGTGTGTATGTATAGATTATTTATTTTATATTTTTAGGGTGACAATTTTAAAAATAGCCTTCAGGCTAATTCTGGCACATTGTACATTTTTTAAATGACTAGATAGGGACGGACGGACGGACGGATGGACGGACGGACAGACAGATAGATAGATCTATCCATAATTACACCAAATATCTATCATAAAGATGGACGGTTAGATTACAATTACACAATATATAGCAAGAACAAAATCAAGAATCTTGATTCAAGAAATAACTGGGTATTAATATATTTTACCAAAAAAACAAGACATTCTAATTAAAAATGATTTTCTGCATAATGCGTGTGTGTGCAGATTCTGTAAGCGGTCACATTGAATTCCTATTCTCCAACAGATAGCCACCTGCTCCGACAGTTAGAACATATGGGATTGTCCTGATTAACAGGCAGCTAGAGAGAAGATGTGAAGGGGGCTCTGGCTGTACTTCCAACCCATCGTCCTAATGACTGCACTTCCTGTGAACGGGATAGCAATGAACTCTGAAAACTCTAGATACTTAAGTATGCTTGTTGCCGGCCTAAGAAGATTTGCGTATACGGTAATGACTTGGGTCGGTAAGCTGAGCCAATCAAAGTCTACTGCCAGGCAGAACGGAGCGAGTTGATTGGAAGACAGGACGATAAATGCCAAAATGGCTTCATCCATCACAGTCCCTAAGAGCGTAGCCTGGTCTCAAATGGGTCCCGCTGCCACTGCATATTGTTCTATAAATGGGAGCTTTCTAATCAATGATGTTAAGTGTTAAAAATGAAGGGCATGTTTCATATTCTGGAACCGAGTCCTGCTTTAATGTAACTGGAGATCAGTGGGCTAGAAAGACATGGACCTTCTCCATTATGAGGACAGGTGGTGAAGGGGGCTGATGGGTAACAGGCCAAAGCCATTGAAGCCCATGAGGGAGTATATGAGGGAACTGAAGCATGGAGTCACACCATTCCAGCAGGACAGATCCGTGTCCATAGTCTATTCATAGATCCCATCTGCTTTTGTTGCATCTTGTTGTGGCATCCCAAAGGCAACGGCATTACATCTGTTTATCATAAAGTAAATACTTCAATATTTAAAGGGATATTTCGTGCAAAATGTGTCATTCCAAACCCATATGAATACAATAGATCTTTTTTTTAAATATCCTGGCCATTTGTTTTCCA